AGAGAGAGAGAGAGTCTGGCTAGGGAAGGAGAAATCCTTAAGAAAGACTTTTGAGAAATAGAGGGCCCAACAAATATGGACAAGTTTATACTTGCTAGTAAAGATAGGTTTTTCTAGATTAGATAACGTTACATGTAAAACAAAGGGTAAGTCCATCTTAAATAAATTTGTACGGAATTCTACCGAACAGCTAACAGGGCTTTACAATGATTCTTTAGTTATTGGACATATGCCACAACACACTTGGTTGCTAAATGCTAATTCATCTTTTAAGCACATGATTAGTACAATAAATAATCTGTTGTATTTTATTAAATGTAATGAAAGGACCAGATCGTTTCATTTTGCATGTTAATTACATTAGATAATAGAGGCAGAAACTACCTATGTTACTCTCTAACATCTACTCAAAAGAGGGAAAGATAAAACAATCATTTACAGTGTGTACTTAACTTAGGCTTACTAGCCAAGCTTCAAAGAAGAATACTATTCTTCTCAGCAAGTCAGAAGAGCAAAAGATTTTTATTTATGGGCAAATTAACACCTTCATATGCGGTTAAATCAAGCATAGAGGCTGCCTGAAAAATTGCCCAAGTTAACATAAAATTTACTACAAAATTTTTGAGTTTCAGCAGACATTGAGTTATCTAACCATATCAAGAATCAGGCAATGGAGATCAAGATATATGAGATAAAAAACAAAGGAGAAAAGAGAAGTGGTAAACATTAAACACCGACCAATAGTGCAAAGGAACAAGGAAATGTAAACCCTAATGATATGATGAAAGCCATGAAGTGCGATGAAAAACACGAAATCAACCCCACAAATGCAAAGCAGCTAATAAACCCTAGAAGTCTCAAATCACATATACATTAGGACAAATACCAAATTAAAGTTCCTACTATCACAAACACGAATTCATGTTATTCTATGTATTTCTATAAAACTTATACTTTTTTTTTTATATTTATTGTGCATATCAAAATTCATGTGGAATTATCATCCTATCAAGGCCCATACCAATCGGACCCCCAAAGTGCCTTGAGTCTGCAACCTGCACTTGGTAACCTTGATAAATTTAGTAATCAGCACACCGTAGGTAGCTAATTCTCCTTTGAGCATGACGCTCGAAAACTAAAGATGCTGATTGCGAGGCAAACTCAGGTAACTATTATCTGATATTTTAAACTATTGAGGTTGAATAAAGGAAAAGCCTGTCTCCTGCCACTCCTTATATTCAGCACTCACTCCTAAAGTAAAGGGATTAGGTATATTCCATGCAGATCGTCACATTGCCAACATGGGGGTGGTTTAGTTTAGGCGTTTTGCTACTCTAGTTTCCTTCATGAAAAAAATTGATGAGATTTTATTCTTTGGTATTTTATAATTTATTGACAAATAACATCTATTTGATGAGTAAAGCCATAGAACAGAGCTCCTACAACATAGAAAGAGTGATGGAAAGATCCTCATATTAACAAATTCATAACTTCAGGTTGACCATTGCTACATTAGGCTAGGTAATGGCGTCGCGTTTTGGAAGGGTCCTTAAGCACTCAGATATTCCGATTTGGGGTTTGGATGGGTTTTTGGGTTTCTTGATCCATTATGATCAACCCGTTATCAATGAAATCATGAATAACATTCTCAAAGCATTTGCAAATGTCTGTGTTGTGATCTGGTTGCCAGCCTTATCACTTCCCCTTATGGTTGTATCCCTAGTACAACTTGATGTGAACTTTTCTTCTTGAATATCAATGAAAGACAATAATAAAAAAACACAAACAATTGCACAAGATTGACAAAACTCATCATTGTTTCTGAAATGGCTACCACCATGCGAGAAATTCAAAGCATCCCTAATATGATGAAGTTTATTAAGGGAGAAGATCAATTGAATACTCTAGAAATTCGGTATAATTCGAAAAGTCAGTACAATTGACAAATATGATGAAGTTTATTGAAGTTCATAGTTTGTATTTAGCTCAAAACCCAGAGGATAAAAGATCCCCTGTTCGGGGGATTTTTTTTTCTTGGGGTGGTGGGGGGGGGAGGGGGGGGGGGCGGGGGGGGGAACCAAAACGATCGGGTTTTAGTTTGTTCTTATATCCCAAGCTTCTGCAAATGGTCGGGTAAATATATAACTAAAGAAGATACATAAAATCTCCTATTTATTTGGCTGAAGCGTTCTGAAATTTTTGCACAAATAGAGACAGGTAAAGACTGAAGGTACTTGCTAAGAAAGACAACCAGCAAAATATCTAGAGCCATTGAAATATTATTCCAGTGGAAGAAATTACAAAGAATTTCTTTGTCTTGCATGTCTTGAGATATTTCAACCGAAGAATCCACAAGCAGCACAATCCCAATTCTATGAATCAATTACGTAAACAAAAGGTGAGATAAGGTTTATAGAAGGGGAAGTTTCATAGAAACAATTGCAAGAGGGAGGCAAGGGGAGTGTAGTTTTAAGTAAAAACGCAGGTGTTTATGCACTGTTTTGGGAAAGATTTAGGGGTTTGATAGTAATGTATGAGTTTGGGCATTTAGATTAAGATATATGGGCGCCATTTAAAAAGATATAAACAGGAAGAGTAAGAACCCACAAAACGGAAAAAGAAAAAAAGAAAAAAGAAAAAAGAAAATCAGCAGGGTCTAGGCATAATCAACATCAGAACTAAACCTGAATAAACACTATTAGAACAATACCAGCAATAAAATGATACACAGAAATCAATACAAAACTGTAAACACAAGTCAAAATAAAAGATAAAGCCCCAGAGAAAATTAATTGCAGAAACCATAACCACGTCCAACAATCGACAAAATTAGAAACCACTCTCTCTGAATTAATGAACAAACCAAAGTAAAGAACAACAAACCAAACTAAAGAACGCATGTCAACAGAACCCTAAAATATCAATACCAGCTTCTATTGAAACGCAGAGAAAACTTCACCAAAACTGCAAATCCTAGAAGCAATAGAGGCGCAAGTCCTATTACTCAAAGAACCAGTTACTATATAAGTACAGCAAAACAAACGCACCTGATTAGGGCTTCCATACGACTGGAAGATACACAGAAGGCTTCTAGTTCGGATCAAATTTAGGGTTTTTCATGGAACTTGGGACCTCAAAAACCCTAGCTTATAACTGACACCTGCTGGCGCTGTACACCATGAAAATTTTGCGACTCGGAAATGATAAAAGTGTGAGAAAGGTTAGGCTGAAAAAGACAATATATCGGCATTTATATGTACGGACGAATTTTACTTAATAATACAAGGGTCTGAAACAAATTACGGGAGTGCCCTTAACCTATACTGTGCTACTGCGGGTGCACTTGCCCCCCATAGTTAAGACCCGGTTTCTATGCAGCCAAGCCCGTGTATGTAGAAATGCGAGCCTCTTAATAAATCTATTTTTGAAATGGATTTTTGGACTTAATTTTTAAGGACATGCGATTTCTAACATGGAGATCATGAATATGAAAAAATAAATAAAAATTAAAAACTAAAAATAATAATTCTAATAAGAAAACATTTGGGCTTATAGTTTCTATTGTTTTTAAATGGGATACCTACTTGCATTCATCTTTAAGATAGATGATTTATACTTTTTAGACAGCATATGTAGATATGCAGTCCATCCCGTATGAAACAATTTTCGTATCGTTAAAACTACAATCTGAAAATCTAAGATCCGCCTTATAATCGTCATGTGGGTATTTGTAGAAGAACACAATTTCTATGAGTCCATATAGAAATGAGTCACCTCCTAAAAAGTTTATTTTTGAGATAGATTTTTGGACTTAAGTTTTAAGGACATGTAATCTCTAACATGGAGATCATGAATATGAAAATAAAGAAAATTAAAAAAATTAGAAATAATAATTCTAATACGAAAACATTTGGACAGTTAGTTTCAATTGTTTTAAAATGAACTGCCTATTTGCATTCATTTTTAAGATGATGTATACCTTGAGGACTGCAAATGTAGAAATGTGGTCCTTGCCGCATGAAACAATTTTCCAAATCTAAAGTCCACCTTATAAGTTTCATGTGGCTATTTGTCAAACAAAGTAAAATATTTTTTCTAAATACCAGTAAATTGAATCCTCTCTTATATCTTAAAAGGAATTGTCTACTATGAGACTGTTTATATTTATTACAATGTCACAACTACGTCTAATCGTTAGATGTCAAATTGGATGGCTGAGTTATGTCATGAAGTTCAAGTAATGTTTTTAATTTTAAATCTAATCAATAATACTCTTACAACTACCCGATTTGAAATTTGATAGACAAGAGTAATTGTGACATCCTTATGCAAAAAGTAAATAACCTCTTTGTATACTTTTCCGTCCTAAAATCTTTAAACATAATATTTTTGGGAAATGCTCCATCTTTTACATTTTTCATTGCCAAGCCAAAGAAATGACTAAACTCACCTAAAATTTTCATTTCAATCCGAGTGGAGAGTTCAGCCCAAAGCTTTGCAACTTCTACATCATCATTGCTTGCAATTTCTAAAGACTAACATTCATGCTACCAAATTCCCTAACATCGCTTCAAATCTCGCATTTGTGACCCCTTTCTTCTCTTAATACATTGATATTATAACTAGATTGATTAAGAAAATGATTTAGTTGATTTTGAGTTGCATGCATCTCAAGTCATAGTTCATTTAAAAATTGAGCCATCTCTCGTACAATTTGCAAGGGGATCATCATTTTCTCCTATATCATCAACCTCAGCCAGCTCCTCTCCTTCCGCACCACCCCAGCTATATGAATATTATTAGCACCTAATGCAGGCAATGCACCAGGTGCCCTGGCTTGGCCTGACCCACAAGGTGTGGCTTGAGGGCCGCGTTAGGGTCCAGGCCACAACAAGGCCGGTCGTGTTCAGCCTGCCCCTGCCTTGATAAGGCTCGGGCTACGATCAGGGCCGGCCCATGCCCGGCTAGGGCATGGAAACAATAAGAATGGAACCCAAGGTATGGGATTATTGTTGGCAAAAAAAACGAAAAACAAAAATAACCTTCAGTATGGGATTGCAGTTAACTAAACTACAAAAACCCAAAAAAAGGAAAGAGTGGCCCATCCAATTTGTTATGTTGTATACAATAGTTAAAAAATAAAACTAAAAAATAAAAGAAAAGATGAAATCAATCAAACTTCTGTATGCAGAAAGAAAGCAATAAAATGCTTAAGCAAATCCATATATTCGAAGTTCACTATGAATTCCTAGCTGCCTAAATCTTTAATTTTCGCTAAATCCTTCTCTTACTCTTTATAATGATGCTTTGTGTTTATATGATAAAAAGATTTTTTGTTAGATCATTTAACTCTAACTATTATTTTAAGATATATGGTCAAGTTGAAGGATTATTCTTTTAGAGAATATATTAAACCTTTTTTTTAATGGAACATATTGGAGGTAATTTTTTATGGAAATTCAGTTAAAGCAGGATTCTCAATTTATTTTCACTTTTGATGTGCTTATCTCTAAACCAAAATTCAAAGATATTAAATAATTGAAGAGATAAAGTTGTAGAAAAGAAGTTTTTTTTGAAAATATATATTTTTTAAAAAAGGTAAAATACGGATTTATATTGATTACATTAACATATAAAAATTTTTGAAGATCTTTTGAAAAAATTCGGAGCTCTTAACGAATTTTAAAAAATCAAAGAGTTTTGGAAAAAGTCATGTTTTAAACATCTAACAATGTGTAATACATGAGAGTACTAACAAAAGCGTGATAAGGTTGAGGATCGAAACAAAGCTTGCCTTCTTCATGCCTTCCCATTATGTTGGCATCCAGAGGGCGGTAACCAGTTGCTTTGATTTAAATTAAACTTAGAAATAATCTTTTCAGTATAGTCCTTTCATGGAACAAATGTTTCATCCTTCACATTTTCCACTTCCAAGCCACTGAAGTGACTAACCTCGCCCAAATTTCATTTGGAATGGAGAGTTCAACTGAAAGCTCTGCAATGTCTCCATTATCATTGCCTATGATTATATTGTCATGACATATAAAAGAATATTTGCATGTTGTCTTCCTTGCTGCTTAACAAATAAGCTAGAATTAGTATTAGAGGCAAAATAACAACAAAAATAGAATTACTAGACAATCTTGCCATACTGTTCTTTATACTCGAAATCTTTGGTGGTGAACCGGTCTCCACCTTGGTTTCAGCGTAAACTCGTTGAATGAATTGGAAAAGAATATGGTCCAGTAAAATTACAATCCGGGTGAGAGTTAGGCCACAAGACCTTCCCTCGCTAGGATTGCTGGCAGAGCAGGCTTCCAATCTATTTTAATCAAAAGTTAGAGAGAGATTTAGAACTTGGGTAAGGAAAAGGGGAAGGTTCTTGTAAAAGCCTTAGGAATAGAGGAGAGCAAGTAAATGGAAGGAAAATAAAGGAAGAAAGGGGAATAAATGCCTTAAACGTGACATGTTAGGTGAGTGTGACCATTAAACCCCTTTTGACTACTTGTAAAGTGAAATGATATAGTGGAACATGAATTCAGTGGGAGTATGGTCCCTCATGGACCATACTAAGCAAACGATGTTTTTTTATATCGAACTGAGTTTGACAAGCTAGGCCAGTCGATTGGGAAAAACGCATATTACCTAGGTATAGAAAACTATCAAATAATGGTTCTAATAGGTCATTTCTTGATGATGTCGGAGTACGCCGGGATGAGTGAGTCGATAGACTGTGTGATCATTGTGTGTGATGGTGGCCTTCAGATATGAAGGCTAAAGCTTCATCTGCGAGTCATCACAAGGCATGCATATATGATAACTTTTTGGAAAAGCGAACACCTTTAAGTGTGAAGCTTATACATGTGCGAGAGATACCACTATGCGTCATAGAAGCTGTGATCGCATCACTTTTAGGTGACCTTGGTAGATCCTAGGGGATAACATGAAATCCACAAACTGGGATTATGACCCTTTGGCTTATTGACTGAACTTTGGTGACCTATAATGAGCCCCTGCTTAGATTGTGGGTCATGAGAAATACAGAGTCGGTTTGAAGAAGCAAGTATGGACTGTAGGTCACAGTTGAAGGTGGAGTGCCCCAATATTTATTTATTTAATTCCTAGATCATATGGATATTTTTCTCATCTAATGAATTTAATTATGTTTTTTTTAGTGATATATGATTTTTAGAATTATTATTTGAATTTTTCTAAATCTCTGGATATTTTATTTATCAAATTAGGATTTATAAAAATGAAGATATTGATTTTAATATTCAAATTTGATTTTATGGATTTCTAAAAATCATATAATTAATTTTAATAATTTTAATATTGCATGAAAGGTCCAATATGTTAATGGGCCCACCATTGCATGTGGGTGGGGCCCATGAAGTACCACCTAGGGTGGCACACTCCACCTTAATGAAACTTTCCTTGTGTTAGTTAAAGTTTTGGCTTGAAGAGAAAGCTTTGAAGTGTTTTGGAAAGATTTTGCCTTAAGGAAGTTTTTATAGGATTTTTGAAAAGCATGAGAAGGCTTGTACATAATTTTGGTAAGCCTTATGTTATGGATGAAATTATTTTATTTAATTTATATTGATGAAAAAATGGTTTAAGAATGGGGGATAAAGGTTCTAACGCATTCCATAATATTGATGGCCCATCTATGGAATGGAGGGCTCAAATCTCTCACCCCATAAGTCACCCAAGATCAATGTTTCATATTCAATCTCACAAGAAGAGACAAACCCTAAAAAACCCTAATCTTGTTCAAAGCCCATAAAAAGATATTGTCTCTACCCAAAATCTCTACACCTTATCTCTTATACCTAATTCCCATCTCTCTCTCATATTCCATAAAGGGGGTACGCCCAACTTCGATTTATATATCTCTCTCTTAAGAAAGTTTCTCTCTCTTATCTTTGATATCTCTCTTATGGTGGTTCTCTCAACTCTCTCATGATCTTTCATCTCTCATTGCAGTTTTAGACAATAGGGTTGTGGTAGAAAATAGAGGTATTTCTCTCAAACTAGGTTGCTGATGGGATTCATATAAGGGTTTGATATTTGTGATAAAAGAGTTCATAGTTCCATTAGAGGGTTTGGCCTAAATTTGCTTTCCCAGTTAAGATTGAAGGTTGATCATTGATCTCGCTCCATCGAATAGTGGTGACTCGGTGTAGGGTGTAATAAGCCCGGTT